GCATTTTTTTCTTACTCATTTAAGTTATTCTACAGCAGCTTTGTGTTCTGTATTACACCCTAAGGTACTTTGTGAGGGCACTATTTTTGCCTTAATTTGGTATATCAGCAAAGTTTTTGAAAAAACCCTTGCATGAATAAATTTTAAAAACTGTACATTGTATAGCTATGGTTATTTTGTAAATAATGAGGAAATTTAACTTGTAACTTCTGGGATAGGCAGCCTGTTTAGTGTGTTATTCGATTTCTTTTACTGCAGTTTTATTTTCAGTAGGATCAATGGTACAAAGCCCGGCCACTAACTAAACACAATGAAGACCCCCAAACTATGAAATGGAGGTAGTAGATTGCTTGGTGATCTGCAGAGCTCAGACTCTTTTTGAATTCAGTGTGCCCTCCTTTTTTTATTTTGAGGGATTCATACATGTGTAACATTTTACACCATTTTCAACCTAACCCACACCTCCCCAGAACTACTTTTAGTGCAGGTACAAGCTGTATTTCCCCTCTTCCCTGCTTTTCTTTACCTAACCTTATAACGAACTGGGTATCAAAGAAATGAAAATAGCAGCAAGGGCTGGTAAGTACAACACAAAGCCTGAGATACTGAATGGCACTGGCTCTCAGCCGTGTGGTCGCAGTCGGTACAGTGGTCCCCCTTGGATAGCAGTTCTACCCTGTGGGTCACAACCCCATCGGAAATCCCATAAGTGAGTCTTAGGAACCCCCACCATAAATTTATTTTTATTGGACTTTATAACTAATTTTGCTATTGAGTGGTGTCTTACTTCCTAAGACCCATTGAAAAGATGTGTTTTCTGATGGTCTTAACCCACAGGTTCAACTTGTGGTTGAGAACCATTGTGCTATGACTTAGCATCTGCCTGTTGGTCATTTTACATTTGCATCTAAATCAAAGTATGGAACTTCACTACAACCCATCCTGGGTATCATAGGTCAGTGTGTGCATTCTGGACCCCAGATACCTCTGGTTTGGAGAAAGAACTGAGCAATGCAAGGTTACTTCTGGCACTTTTTTTCTCCATTAGGTTTCAGAATTGTCTCACTTTCTTTTTAAGCACCATCTCCAGTGTCTGAAGTCTTTGTTTTTGTCCAGCCCTCTCCACTTCTGTTTTCCTTCCAGCATGGTGTTATTTTCTGTTCTCTTTGCTTTTGTTGACACAAGCAATTGAGTGGTCTTGTTAGTGGGCTACTTTGCAATTCCTTGTGAGGTTGTTGCTGGCAGCTGTGTGAGGCTGGGCATCACAAAGCATCTTTCTAATGTTCAGCTGGGTTTTCTGAGAGGAGTTAAGAAGTGGGGAGAGACAGGGCAGCAGGAAGGCCTTTTGTCCTCTCATTGTAATGTGAGTAAGTCACCTAAAGTTTCCAATGCAGTTTATTGGCACTAATAGGCATCTGTCTGTGACAAGCATTTGCAGTAATTCATGTTAAAGTTACCGCAGAGCTATTGGCATCTGCTCCTCAACAAAATGTTGCGCCTGTTTCTTTATGTCTGGATAGTAAAGTGCCATTTGCTTTACCTGACTCAATTGATGGTCTTGTAATCAGTCATCGTGACATTGCTGCAGTGAACAGAGGCGTGTCATCTTGTGTCACTGATTTATTTCCCTTTGGATGTAACACATAGGATTGGTGTGACGTGGATGAGCCCAGAGGACATTATGTTATGTAGAGTCAGACACAGAAGGACAAATACCATATGTTCTCACTTATGTGTGGTAATTTAAAACTTGATCTCATTGACCTGCAGAAGGGACAGCTAGTGTTTTCTCTGGGTGGGAGGAATAAGTTCTGTCTTTTCATAGCACTGGAGGAATGCTGTGGTTGGTCGTTCCTGTAGATTTAAAACAACTTGTAAAGAAGATCTTGACTTAGTTATTCCCAATCCAAACTAATGATAAATGTTTGAGTGCTGGATTTCCTAGTGGCTCTATTCTCAGGTATGCCCATTGTATGCACACACCGTGGTGCCATACTGCTCTCCATAGCTTTGCACTTGTGTCGTTAGATGTTTTGTCTATTAATTCTAGATCTCAAACTTTCATGCCTTTTTACAAGTATTAGACTCATCCAGGATAGCAATTGGTTAAGATATGATGTTTAGGATTTATTGTTTCTGGATTCATAAAATCTCTTTTATTCAGGATGAGTGGAGAAATATGTCACCCATAGGACAGCATGAGCAACTGGAATCCAAAACTTCAAAATCCAGACCTGGTGTTGCTGGGGAGGCGCGAAGAGAAAGGAAAGGGATAGTGAACCTTTTCACCTGCTACCCTCCTTGTTCGTGTGTGTGTAGCTTCCATTTATTATATTGAGATGATTGTTAATGTGACAGTGACATCATTTGACAGAGAGATTTTTGATGGACGGGTGTCTCCTGCTTGTTGAGGGTGTGTTGGGGGTTAAAGATTGTTTCTGGACTGTATGGAGAAATCATTAGGTTTGAATGTTAACTTTTGGTCCAATTTCTTTGCTACTTCTTTGTCTAAAGATATCTTACATTTTGAGTAGTTTCAAAGTATCTTACAGGCTGGTCTACCTTAAACTCAGCAATATAAAAGGAAGGGTTAAGGTTTCATTTATTTTTCAGTGTGATTGATTTCATCAACAAAAATTAGTAATTAAAAAAAGCAGGAGAAGAAGAATGAGTTTATAATTTGAGATTGTCCACATGACTGATCTAGAGACAGTCAACATAACCGTGTTTTTTTGAGAGCTGGTTGGTGTGGTTATCCATGTGACATGTTCTAGTGATGGTGGGAGGCAAGCCTGAGCCTTGTGAATAGGGTTCAGAGTGCTTTAAAGCCCCAGTGCGCCTCAAGGATGGCTGCTGCCTTTCCCCTGCCCTCGGAGAACTCCCATGTAGATAGGAAGATAAAGTTTAGTTTAATGTAATAATAGTGGTCATCTGCACCTGCTGGGCTCAAATCCTTATTTCTTTTTCCTTAGTCAGCATCTCAGCCTTATCTATTCTATCTTTCTCTCTTTGTTTAAAACTGTTGTTTTAAAGGGATCAGTACTTTCTTATTATCAAATCAGGTAGGGACTTTAATTTTCTCAGTCCTTGGAATTGCATGCCCCGCCCCAACTCGCTGGCCTTCCACCTGTTAGCTACTTTGTTTCCCCTTGTTTTCTGGTGTTGGTGTTTCTTTGCCACTTCTAATTGAGGTTTTCAGATTAGTGTTTAATTTAGCATCGTTAGTCCTCTTCTGAACATTCAGCTCAACAAGTATGAGATGGACTTTTGTGTCACTAAGCAAGAATAGCGAGCCTTAGTGACGTAATGTGAGCCTGTAGTCCAGGCCCCTCAGGAGGCTGAGGCAGGTAGAGTCCAGCAGAGCGGTTGTCTACCACTCTACTCCACCCCTGTGCTAGGAGTCCTCCTGCAGCTTTCTCTGTCCCTGTCTGCAGCGTTTGGTGGCTGGAGTGGTGATACCTTGACAGGGGCCAGTCTAGGATCCTCGGTGGGACATGCAGGGTGGCCAGGCAGCCACTCATGCCTTTGTAATAGCCGGTGTATGTCAGAAATGCCAGAAGCCGACTCAGGTGGCCCAGCACCCTTTTCACACATGGCACTACTTTGATGAATAGGAAGTGGCTTTCTTTGGTTGGTGGCAACTTTGATTGAGAAAATTGCATGGCACAGGACTCAGGAAAAAAACATTAATGGCATAGTCTGTTCACAGTGTGGAGACCATGGGCTTTTGCTGTTCTTATTAGTGTGGCATTGGAAATCACAGGAAGACAGTTTTCAGGGGCTCAGATTGCTGCAGATCGTTAGCAAAAAGTGATAGCATTATCAAAGCAGTGACCTTCTAAGAACACCCGGCAGGTGTGGCGGCCGTGTGACACGGTAGATCATGAGCCCTGCAGCTGGACCTTAGTCCCAAGGCGTGCCTCGGGAACAGCAGGGACATGTGTTAGAGCCTTATGTGTGTGCAGCCGTACCCTGTGCTCACCCAGTGAGATTCCAGTGGAAGAGAGCTGCTAGTGCTGTCGATGGTTCCTTTTGACACAAAAATAAAGTACGGTCTTTTTTTCCTCTCTTTCTCTCCAGGTATATTAAAATGCCCTTTGGTCAGTATTACAGCTGTCACTTCATTCTCTTCTGTAGCTAAATTTGCTTCCTCTAGATCTGTTTATAATCACTTATCAACAAAATAAAAGACGATACTGTTCCTCATCTGTCTCTCAGCCCGCAGTTAGGTTAACAGGCTGGAGAAATGGTGCTGGCACCTGAACTCCAGGCCACTACAAAGCAGCAGGTGCTCCTAACTGCAGGGATGTCTCTCCAGCCTGTTAACCTAATTGCCTAGAAAAAGCAAAACAATTGTTCACTCACTATTATGGTTGGGTCTGACAAGACCCAACTATTTTTAATGCTCCCCCCACTGTGTAAACATGCAGTATACTCTTTACTCCAATAGACTTTTCTTCAGATAGCAAATTGTTCCGTCATTTTTATGCTACAATTACTACATAAGTTTTTTTATTTTTGTAATTTTACTTTCAAAGGTTATGTAATGGAAAACTCTTAAGCATGACACATTAGTTATCTTGTGAATTTTATTTGTTTAATCAGAAAACATGTACTGCAGCATGTTATAGTGTACAGGCCCCGTGCTGGTCCTAGAAGTCCAGAGTGGCCATGGGCAGCCTGACAGCCTGGTGGAGAGAGCCGGCCATTGGAAGCAGCTGAAATGTAGCTGCGAGAGCTCAAGCCCTTCTAAGTGCCTTGTCATTCACAGTGCAACGTTCCTTGTATGTTTTGTTCTGTGCTATGCAAGTAGAAGTGATGCCGAGGTCATTCTGCCTCTTGGCTCGCTGTGCAGTTGAGTGTAGGGCTGACTAGTGGATGTTGCTTGTGCACTGGGAGTGATGAACAAGTATTAACTACGTATTAATTGTGAACATTTTACCTGCTGAGGAGCCCAGCGAGATTCTTTCTTCACTAACGTTTGTTTGTTCATATTGCAGATTCCGCTCGGATTTGGCTTCAGATGAACAGATCTTCTGCACTGTGTACAGGCACAGGTGAGTCTTTTATGTTGTACAGGCACAAGCCTTGAGTCTTTTACGTTGTGATGACTTTTTGTAAGATTAAGTATTTAAAATTATCTGATATATTAGAAACGTAAATAAGATGGGTGTAAATGAACACAGAACAGAACTTACCTATTTTCCTTCATGTTTCTGCTGCGAAAGTTCTTTCAGAATACTTTAAAATGACGTTTGAAAGTGAAACACCATGTGTTTGTTGTTGCTCAGTTTCTATTTGGAAAGAGTTGTAAGTTAGTTGATTAGTTAGTTCATTAAATTTTAACTTCAGTGTTAGTGGATAGTTGGGTGCTGTGAATTCCTGTGCTTGGCCTTTTTTTGTTAGTGGCTCTTATTGCACATTCCTATTGTATGTTGATGATATTTAGCCCTTGATACTCCCTTTGCATCTTCATTTGTAAACCCCCACTCCCCGAGAACTTAGGCTTCTTTAACACCGGGACTGGGTCTGTTTGATCCTGCGTCCTCAGTCCTTAGAACACTACTGCTTTATAGTTAGGGCTGAATGAAGCCCGTTAAGTTGTGGAGTGTGAGTATCTAAAGTACACTTAGATTCAGTCTTCGAACTCTGTGTCTGTAAATATAAACAAAATAATCTGCACAGCGTGCATAAGGCTCTTAAATGTTATGAAAAGTTAGCCTGTTTAAAGATGACTGACCAGGTGATTGCCAAGGTTAAGGCCTCTGATTCACCCTTCCTTCGTCAGTGCTCTGGGGTTCTTATGGTGAAGTATACACTTTCCTGTTGTTGGTTTACATTCAGCCTCCAGTGGTGGCGAATTTGCCTCATTACTTGGCGTGGAGGACTGATTAGACATTAGTCTTCTTGAAGCCTGAGTTCTTGTGATTAAAAAATATAAGAAAAATGGTTGTGTTTCAACAAAGGGATGCGGACTTGGGGTTTGTCTGAACAAGCCAAGACACAGACACGCGCTTGGACCACTCTGCACTAACACCACCAGTCACAGGTCGGAATTGGCAGCTCAGTGCTCTAGAATGTCTTTCCAAAACACCAAGGAGTGCACCTATTCTGTGAATTTATTCTGAACTAGAATTACTTCATTGTAATGACCTGTGTTCCTTTTAATAATATAAATCAAAGAACAGCAGGTAAGGGATCTCTTAGTTTATGGCTTACATGACAGAAACACTGGTTAAAGACTGCCAGGGATGGAATGATGCACTTCAGCGCACTTTGAATGCTCCGAGCTGCGATGTTACAGCTGCTGGACATGGATGGAAGGCTTTGCTCTTTTAGAGGTCAACTTCTTTCTTGCTCAGAAAGTAATTCCTTTGTTTGAATCTTCCTTTCTATTTGTTTCCAGGTAACATAGTGTTTGGAAGACTTAATTTTTGTTTGTTTGTTTGTTTTTTATTTTTTTGTGTTTTTGAGACTAGATTTTCTCTGGGTAGCCCTGACTGTTCTGGAACTGGCTCTGTAGACCAGGCTGTTGTCGAACTTAGAGAGGTCCTCTTGCCTCTGCTTCCCAAGTGCTGGGATTAAAGGTGTGTGCCACCACCACCAGGCAGAGGACTTAATTTATGTTCCTGACACTGACTTGAATTTTCTCTATCATACTCCCTGCTGCAGAGAGTCAGATATTGTCTCACAGTCTTTACATAAGTGGATGATTTCCTCTGAAGGAACACGTGATGACTTACATCTTTTAAGTGAAGTGTTTAGGTAGAGCATACTCAGCGTTAGCTTCCCTCCACTTTAATTTTCACGACTGCATAACTCATGTAGTATAAAGACACCGTGGGTCTTAATTGTGTAATAATTTGAACAAAATGTTCTTGATGGCAAGTTCAATATACCTTAGGTTTTTGAGAACATAATTAATTGTGCTTTATTAAACATTCTGAAGTGATTGTATCTATGAGAGTAAATGAAAATTCCAGAACTAAATGTATAGAATGGAGAATTCCTTAGTTTGAATTTAAAATACAATATTTTTTTAACAGACTAAATGTGATTCTTAATCTATAGTGAGCACATTATTTCCAGTCTGGTCTCATGCTTCAAGCATCTTAAAAGTAAGCTAATAAAGTTTACTTAGCATTGGCAGCAAGAGTACAGAAATTTGCCTGCCAGTACAGCCTTGAAATGTCATTTTCCCTTTGAAAGTATGTGATACACTGGTGGGTTAAAAGTTGTTTTTTTTTTTCTTTTTTGTGCCAGGAAAACTTGAGGTGCAAAGATAATTAAGTGGGGAAGGTTAAGGTTGGTTCACATGTACCTGGGGCAGTCTAGTGCTTCACCAATGCCTGGAGGGAATCCCTCCACGTCCAGTAGTGCATGCTATGCACTGCCACAACACTCTTGCTGATTTCCAAATTTTACAATGCAATACAAATGCTGATTCCAAAAATTAGAATAAATATACCTAAGCATAAAATAAAGGTCCTTTGAACATGAACACTGATTTTCAATCCCTTCTTGGTTCATTGATGAGAGAAGGCCCGTGTTAGACACCGACTTTAACTGAGAGTTATACAGTCACACAAAGACGGACAGCTTGTGGCAGCAAGATCTGGTCACATTTGATTGTATCACTGCTATAATGATATTTTCCTTCAAATGCTAGCCTGGACAGCACCACAACCTAGAGAGTTAGAGGTGTTTTTAAACTTAAGCATTTGGAGGAGAATTTCACCTCGCAGAATGGACCGTCCTCTTGATCCTGTGGAAGGGATGGTGCGCATCACAGCCTAGGATCACTGGAGAGCTGAAGTATTTAGTTATGGTTGGTGGTACTGGTGTGCCGGGCACGGTAGACATAACCTCTGTTGGGAATTGTGACAGGCTAGTTTTTAAAACATTTTTCTATTTTCTTCTGCTTTCCTCTCTTCCCTGTGTCCACGTCAGTGAGAAGAGATTAGCTTCATTTCATCGTATTCATCTGTTAGCACAACACAAGCACTTGCATGTGTTGTGTTCATTTGGGGGCTAGACTTGGACATCTTGAAGAACACAGTGTCACTGATTTCCTCCCTGCATTTCTTCCCAGAAGGAAGCTGTAGCTGTTCTTTCTGGGAGTGGGTACATGTGTTGAATAAAAGGTTCCTTCCCCAGCTTTCCTGCCCTTGTGGTCTTTAAATTTCAACCTAGATGAGTATGTGTCCTTGTCAAGATGTTCTTGGTTGACTTCCAGAAAGATCTGTGGGGACATTTATCATGGCTGCCATGCAGTTTTCTACATCTTGACTTTTGATTTGGGTCAGTGTAGGATGCTTGCTTGCTTACTTGCTTGCTTTTCCAGGCAAATTCTTACTTTCCTTTTTTTTTTCTCCCTCCCTGCCTCCCTCCCCCCACCCCTCCCTCCCTCCCTCCCCCCCTTTTTTTTTTTTTATCTTTTTTTGAGGAGGGGCAGGTCGGGACAGTGCCTCAGGATGGCCTTAGCTTAACAATGTTCTTGCTTTATTCTCTCTTCAGATGAAATTACAGGAGTGAGCTACCTTACCTGTCTCAGTTGGGATTGTTAGTTATACTGTTCTCTTTCCCTTGGAAGGAACATCCCAGGTATACACTGTTTCCCACTGACCTTCCTAGACCCCATAAAGATAAACAGTGTCAACCAGGCTTCTTCTATTGACAACTCCTTGTATATGTGAAGCTCAATCTAACTTGAGCTGCTTACAGCACGTAGATTAAAAGAGAAATAAAGCATTTCTTTATACAATTATCCATAAGACTAAGTGGATATTTACAATTTATTTAGGTGTGATTATTTGGCATTAGCTATAACTGCTTCCATTTTAATTTTTGTCACTATTTGACCCCGTATTCCAAGGAAATCAAAGAAGTTATTAATAGTAAGCTTTGGAAATGTGTATTTTTTCCAACTCATTTGAACATGGTAGGTTGTCTGAAGGTTGTTTGCTACTTACTATTTATTGGGTGGTGCATGGGTGCCTGCCGTCAGTGCACGTGTGGACATGTAACATAATCTCCATTTTCATGGTGGGGGCATACAAAGGGGAGAAAGCAGGAAGTATATAGCATTGAATGGATGTGTGATTGTTCCCAAGTAAGGAGTGAACATGTTCAAAAATTGAAATACAGGCCTTCTGAGCCGACTACAGAGTTGCTTATCTCAACTACTACTTAGAAGAGTCGGATTGACGATTTTGAGGGTTTTGTTTCCTTCAATTCAACAGCCTTGGCATTTTGGGTGTCATTTAGATAAATATTTAACAAGAAGTAAGTCACTGACAATTGTGTGGCCTCAGCAGAAGGGACTGAGGTGTCACAGGCATCGAGCCTGTTTTCTGTGAATGAACCGGGGCAGCCTGGACTACCCCCTGACTCATTGGGTGGATGTGCAGGAAGCCTGTAGTAAACCTGCCTGCACTGCCCACTGCCCGGAAGCACTCTTTGAGGCCTTCATCTTAACCCTGCGAGCTTGTCTTGAGGAAGTGACATGATCCTCGTGGTTGGCTTGGTGGCTCGGTAAGGGGGGTGGAGGCCAGGGTGCGGCTGTCTTTCAGTTTCTCTTTCAGTAAGAAAGCTATTTGATCTGGTTTAGTAATTCTGTAATCTGACAGTTTTACTAGTTCAGCAAATAACTTTTTCCTGCATTATAAAATGGAATATGAAAATAGAAGATAGTCTTGAACTGTATTTTAAAACTATTTTAGTGATGTTTGAAAGGAATAGAACTATGAAACTTCGTTGATTTAATTTTATTAAATTAAATTTTATATCATGAGTGCCTTACTTACAGTAGTTAGATTTTGCCTTACTAGCCCAGCAGGATCTGGATTTTCTCTGTAAATGCTGCAGGTGATCTCAGTTTTTCTTTATTTTACATCATAGTTACTTAATGGGGCTCCTGCTTCAATATGTATAAAGCTTCATATAATATTCCTTACTTAACTCTCTGATTGCTACTGTTTGAACTTGTTCACAGAGACATGAAGTTTATATCCAGGTCAGGTTCTTGGATTTTATTTTAAGAGGAGGTCTCACTGTGTAGACCTTACTGGCATTGACCTCATAGAAACCTGCCTGTCTCCTGAATGCTGGGGTAAAGGCATGTGTCATCAAACCCAGGCAGGGTCTGACTTTCTAAAATATCTTTAGAAAATAATGACTTGTGAGATAATGATGTCATCTTTTACATATATTTATAACAGCTTTCAAAGGCTAGTTTGTTACTGTGTTATCCAATGGTGCATATTTAGTTTGTTTACTTTCAACAGTCTGGTTTCCTTGCTTCTTATTTAAAAACAAAATAAAAACCCTTCTGTTGGACCCCAGTGGCTCTCTTTCCTCCATTTCAGAGTGATGTGACTTCTCATCAAAAGCCAGGTGGTTGATCTTACTTCTTGATCTTTTGTATTTGAGGACAGAGGAGGGAGAAGTGCACATATATGCAGATATATAGACATATATGTCATTATTCTAACTAATTTGGTATCTTTGGCTCATGATCTTTCTAGCTTGGGTTCCTTTTTAATTGAATCATTATTTTGACAGACATCTCTGTTGATAAAGCCTCTTATTTTCTCCAGGGTTCCAAGAACTGATGGTGAGAATAACATACCTGGTGTGTTTATATATCCCAGTGAGGTTTCCAGAGGGACTTAAAGTGTTCACAGATGTTTTGAAGTGGAGACAGATATAGCTATGTAGAAAGACAGAGAAAATAGAGAAAAACAAACATCTACTGTTACTTTTGGCGAGATTGTGCTCTTGGCCTTCACATGGACTATGTCTACTTAAACTGGCTAATTCTTTGTGTCAGAGTGTGCAGTGTATTTGGATTCTGTCTGAATCTTCTTTGAAGCAGAGGCTGAACAACTTAATTTGAAAACCCTCATGCTTTCCATTCTGGTGGCAGTTTGGGTGGTGAAGTCGCAGGACTTCACCTTGCCCTGCAGCTTGTCTTCGTCAGAGTCGCCCAGTAGCTTTCACAGAGGTGCATTCTGCCTTGTGCTACAACTCTGAGGATGACCATATAGGATGTGAATGTACTCGAGTGAAAGCATAGGAATTCCATACATATTTCTATACAGAGTAGTATGTTTTTAAAGATCTGCCCTCTTCCTGCTTATTTATGGGAATTATTATTATTGTAGCTGTCCACATATACATGCATAGCTTTAGCTCTTTATTTCCTTAAATATATAATAATATATATAAATATATAATATATTTATAATATATAATAATATATAATAAATATATAATATATTTATAATATATATTTATAATATATAATATATTTATAATATATATTTATAATATATAATAAATATATAATAATCACTGTATTGTAAAAGATTAATAATGAGAGCCACATAGTAGGGTATGAGTAAAAGTTAACACATGTATGCTGAGGTTACTTACATGTGTATTTACTTAGGTTTGATAGTTTGTCAGAGCCGGCAACACTGTAGTTTCAGTGCAGAGACAAGAAGAAAGGGCACACATTAGCAATGGAGCACTGACTTATTACACCCACAGTGCGGTAAAGAGTAGCCTATGCACACTGAACCAGGTAGTGTCTTTGAGCCGTCTCACATCAACTCAGACAATCAGCAGAAGGAGTCACTATTCTGATCTTATGTTTTTGTTTGTTTGAGACGGATCTTCCTATGAATCCCTGGCTGGCCAGCAACTTGATATATAAACCAGATTGGCCTTCAGTTCATGGAAATCTGCCTGCCTCTACTTCCTTAACACTGGGGTTAACTGGCCCATGTGGGGCTGATGAGCAGATAAAGGTTAAGTGACCGTCCAGTGTTATCCCCAAGTTCACTAGCTACTTAGAGGATGAACTGTGATTAATTTTGAGGTTTTGGGCTCTTTAGAGCAGAAACAAAATAGCAAACTCAGGCCAATCCCTGGGATGTGGTGTAGCAGATGGGGTCTCTTGGTATGCAGGCCCGATGACCCAGGATTAATTTCTGGAATCCATGTAAAGGTTGATGGAAAGAGCTGACTGCACAAGGACACCTACCTACACACACAGGCCATGACACATGCCTTCACAAGCAAACCACACACACCATCTTCCACCCCACGTACATTTCAGAATTTCAGGCTGGCTTTATATATGGCCTCTTCCTTCATAGTGAGGGTTTGTAGACTCATTGCACTATGAGAAATCGCAGGCCCCTTTTTAAAATCAGAAACTAGCTGTTAGTCATTAGTGAAGGAAGATGCAGTTCAAGTGATGTGACACAGAGGGTGCTTTCAGTGGGTTTGATTCTCAGAGCTTCTATTAACATAGTTGTTATATTTTCAGAGACTGAAAAAGGAATACTAGTCCAACTTCTTTTCATGTTCTGTTTAAAAACAGCTTTAGGGCTAGAGACTTGTATAAGATATAACTATATATAGGTTATATAGCTTAGTTTTGCCTAGCTAGCATGCACAAACCTTAGGTTTGGTCCCTAACACTTCATAAATTAGCTGTTGGCACAACCTTTAATCCTGTTACTCAGGAAATGGAGGCAGGAAGACCAGGAGTTCAGGATCGTCCTCTGCTTGATAGTTCACAGCCAGTCTAACTACATGAGACATTGTCTCAAAACAAAGTGAAACATATTCTCACTTGATAAGAAACAGTGTAAAGGAATATCTTTGCCATTAAATAAGAACAGGCCTTTAATCCAGAAGCAGAGGCAGACGGATCTTTGAGTTTGAGGCCAGCCTGGTCTATAAGAACTAGTTCCAGAGAAACCCTGTCTCGAAAAACCAAACCAAACCAAACCAAAAAAACTCCGATTTTAGCTTTTAGCTTTAAAATGCTACATTCTTTGGGCTGACTGAACCGCTCAGCTTGTAAAAGCTCTGGTTGCTGAGTCTGGTCCCCTCCCCCACAGCAGGACGGCCTGTGCAGGTTGTCCTGTTTCCATTCGTGTACACGAAGGCACACATGTTAAAAAGTGAAAGCTAGTACATTCTTGGGATAACTGGAGAATCCTTTCAAATAATTGAGAACATAAATTAAATTGTGTTACATTTTATTATTTGATGACTTTTACTCTGTTCCTCTGTTTAGTGAGTAGGGTTTGAACCGCAGATAAGGGCTGTGATCTGACTGCAGTATTCACCACATACACAGCGGTTGCCTTTACTTCCCACCTGATTTACTGCTGCCGTTCCTGTCTTTTTTCTTTTAAAGCCATTTTCAAGCAGATTCAAAATAAAGTTGTAATCTTTGTTCTTCTATTGTCTCAATAATTCTTGCCATTTCTTTCTTTCTTTTCTTTTTTCTGATTTTCTTTTCTTTTTCTTTTTTTCCCAAAGTAGGATTTCTCTGTAGGTTTGGAGCCCGTCATAGAACTAGCTCTTGTAGAACAGGCTGCCTCTGCACCACCACCTCCTGGCAATTCGTGCCATTTCTGAAGTCACTGGCTGGTTTCAGATCTTGACTTTGAATCTTTATTTCGTAATTCATGGCTGTTAAATTTCTCGTCCTCTAAAGCAGCCGAAACTTATTTATTAATAAGTTCCAGGTGACATATCTGCGGCGATGACTCTAGTTGAGGAGGCCAAATACTGATGGGAAGGAAGCTGGCAAGGGTTTTTGCAAATGGGAGCTGCCAGCAGAGGCTCCTTTGCATCAGGCATAGGCTACATCATATGGGATGAGGAGTGCAGTGCTTCTGGGTGAACATTCCCTGGAACGCGTACCCCCGGGACCCATTGTCTGTGGTCATATCCCACTTCTCTTCACCCAGACATCCACTTAGTTCTATGGTGTGGGTCTTTTGTATTGAGAGAAGTCATATGACGTATATAGACAAGCACATAGATTTTCTTTCCCTCTTCTCACCTCATTTCTTATTCCTAGTCTGGGTCATATCTATTTCAAGATGTTCAGATAATTCCTCAGTAGTAGTTCCTAGCTCAGCTCTATCAGTTAGACAAGTAGTTAGTCTTAATCTTCCCCCACCACACACACTCCCCGCGTTTTCTTAACTGGGCTGCTAGAGGCCTGAGACAAACTTCTTTCTAGAGTAGCAACCTAATAACACTTTAAGCAGCCTTTGTTGACCAACACATCCATCCTTAATCTGTCATCACTGAAGAAGTACTCCTGTTAGCTCAGTGGTCTGGTCAGAGACAAAAGGGAGATTGGACAGGGTAGCCAAGAGTGCTGCAGTCGCCCACATGAAATTCTCTCCTTTCCAGGCCTCTTAAGAACTGATGAAATGTGAGAGCCACAGACCTAACCCGAAAAACCAGTTCTGGGCTTGCTTTCTTGAGAGTCACTGAGTGTTTCTACATTTCCTTTTAGTAAGTATTTATTTGTGATTTCCTTATTTCTGTCTGCGTATCCCTGGTCACACCTCTTTATTGCAAAGACAGAAAGCAACGAAGGGTTTATACAGCACATTCCCTAAGTTCTGAGTGATGGATAAAGAGATATAATAGCAGCCACGTAAGGTCCCTTGAAGATCCAGCAGGTGACCATTTGTATTATAGGGCCGATTCCATTATTTTTCTGATGACCCTTTGTTGTACGAAGTGCATCAGTATTGACAGTCATCTGGTACGGTTCGCGTCGCAGAGAGCATTGTGGCTTCTCTCAAGAGGGCATGATTTTATTATGTTATCTGTTAGGAATGTTTCTTAATATTAGCTCCCTGCCGACGTAAAAATTTCCAATCCAATCAAATCAAACCAAGCCAAATTAAGAAATATCCAGGGTTAATGGGAGATATGTGCTCTCGGGTGGCCCTGAGGGGGAACCAGGAAGCCACTAAAACACGACCCCCGAGAGGAAGAAAGGGAGACCACGTGTTCCTCTTTTGGGGCATGACTTAAATTCCCTGGGGAGTGGTCCTGACCCCACTTCCAGGATGGGGTCAGGACCTGGCCTGCTGGGATTTTGAGTCCATACCAGGCCTGGGGGCTGGGATAGATGCCAGGGGCAGGTGTCTACGCTCCCAACTTGACATTCCAGACTCTTTGGATATAGGGGTGACAAAAATTGAAATGGTAATTATGACAAACAGTTAGGCTCTCTTTGGGGAACAAAGAGCATAGACTCAAATCTGGCTGCTTCCTGTGGGCACGGGGCAGCGTGGGGAAGGAGAGAGCCAGGTGTCCACATTTAGCGAGAGGTGTGGCTGGAGAGGCATCCCATGAACTGTCATCCCGGAGAAGGCAGGCATCTGGTCCTTGGGGGGAGATGAGAAGGCAGGTGTCTTGGAAAAAAATTGTTATCACTAAAGATGAGTGTGCCAGAATGAGGAGCAGGTAGGCCCTTCATTGTGGCATCCTAGAAAACTGGAGGGTGGAAGGTCCTGTCTGCTGAACAGACCAAATGTCCTGAGTAGGTGCCCGCTTGAGCCTGGAGAGATGGTACCAGCATGGGTATCTCAGGAACTTGGCAGCCGAGGGGGTGATGAGGATTACCGTGTGAGGTCCTGTCCATCGAGGTTCGAGAGACCTAGTAGCTTCTAGCTTCTAGATCTAGAAGCTGTTTGAGGAGTACTCTGTCCTCTGGGGAGAGCAAAGCAGGTTTAGGGGCATTAGGGTCCACTGGTGTGTGGGCAGGAAGACAAATGTCAGCATGTAAATGGAGAAGGGACCTTAAAAGGGAGAGGTAGAGAAGGTATCCTGCCAGTGGAGTAGTTTGAACTGGGGGGTGATGTTTAAGGAGAAAGGGCCTGCCATAAAGCAACTCAAAAGGGCTCAGGCCCGTAGGAGAACGTGGGGTGGACTGTAAAGTTTGGTGTAAGATAAGATTTACTTATCTTCTTGCTAAAGATGATCCACATGTGTGCAGTGTTTAAGTTCCCTGGTAGTCTTGTCTTTTAGCTCAGATCCTTCGGACACCTCCTTGGTTTTTTGATGAATTAAGAGTAAGACATCAGTATTAATTTTGAATCAATATGATTGGTCATTCAAGAAATTCTTGGCGGGTCCCAGGAATATGACCTTTCAAGGCAGCTAGTCTGTCTCTCCCAGTTTTAGCCTCAGTGCCCAGCCCTTCTTAGAAGCTGTTGGTGTACTCAGATCTTTAAGGATACTAACCCTATAAAGTCCGTGCAGATTATTCCAAATAAACCAGGAGCCAGAGAGATGGGTCAGCAATTAAAAATACTTGTTACTTATGTAGAGGACCTGAGTTTGGTTCCTAGCACTCACATCAAGTGACTCAGAATGGCCTACCATTGCTAGAATTAGGTAACATTGAATCCAAGGGATTTAATGCCCTCTTCTGCCTTCGCCTGCAAGACCCTCCCCCCCGCAATATATACACATGTAGAAAGAAGAGTTTGTTAAGCTTTCTCAAGAATTTATTTATGTATAAAATAGGAGTAATAAACACTGTGATACAGAATGGTTTAGACTCCTCCGCCAATCTAGCTGCCTTCACCTAGTCATTTTGTCCAGGGGTGAAGAAGGAGCAAGCCATTTCCTTCGCTCCAATCCCCGTAAGAGGACAGGAGCAAGAGAGAGCGAAACCCTATCCCTAAGATTATAAGTAGTCACATCTGCACACAAGACCATGCTTTAGGATTCATGATCCCCAAAAGGCATTGGCTAAAATCCCAACACACACACACACACACACACACACACACACACACACACACACACACACACACACCCCTCTGAGTTTGAGGCCAGCCTGATCTACAAAAGCTCATTCCAGGACAGGCTCTAAAGCTACAGAAAAACCAAACCAAACCAAACCAAAAAACCCAAACCAAACCAAACCAAACAAACATTGTTCCAAGCATTTTCGATATGGGCTGTTCAGTCTGCACTTATTCTGTACAGTGTTTATTGGTCTTTGTAACTGAGTTGTATATGTCTTTTTGTATTACTTTTCTTTTTAAAAATACATACTTTTTTATATGTATGTATTTTACCAGCATGTATTATTGGGCCATCGAAGTCAGAAAAGGGCATCAAATTCCCTAAAAATGGAGTTTCAGATGGTTGTGAGCACTATGTTGGTAACACAGCAGCCAGTGCTTTTAACAGCTGTGATGCCCCCTCTCCAGCTACCCATTTCCCCCATGGAGAAATTTAGAAAACAGATTTGTACTAAGTCATGTTTTGGACTTGATAAGTTTTCCGTATGCTCTTCCAACTAATACAGCCTCATACTAGCTTATAATAGTAGCATGTGTTCAGAATCAGACCTAAGGATTCTAAGCTCTCGAGTCACAGAAAATAGGAAATTATATTTAGAACATTAAACTTAGCAAGATAGAAGATTATGGCAATTTATTTTAAGATGTCTTCACATAATAAAATAATTTAAGTGACGGATATTTAAATAATTTAATAACTTAAAGAATAAAAATTAAGTAAAAAGTGAACAAAATTTGGGGAAATTGTCCGGTCACTGTGACTTTGTATCAAAGCTGTGCAGGATGCAGGGCTCTGCTGTGTCAGTTGTGGGAATCACAAATTGAAAACTCAGAGACATTGCCAGTAGGCAGCCACATGGGGATCGAACGGCAAGCCATGGGGAGAAGGCACATTGCTCTCTTGGCCTCTGGTGCTGTCAGCCATATTGCTTTGCTACTGTCTTCTGCCAGAGCTATGATGACTTCTCTGGTGAGATAGAGGCTTTCTGGGTGCACCCTGACAGCCTACACATACTCCCTCTCCCTGACTACAGACCTGGTAGGTACCGTGTCCTGCATTGCCAGCTCTTAGACACTGGAGCACAGGAGAGCTCCTCTTTGTACATGCGATTTCTAATACATTTTTTCCAAGTTTTAAGGGCTGACTCATGATGACTAGTAGCATCTTTCTTAGAGGTTTTCAGGGCCAGGACTCCAGCACACAGGCCACCTCTACTTCCTGCTTCCTCCCCCTGAAATGCTTTTATCTTGGGTGACTGTCCTTTCACATGATCATACTGGCTCCCCCACTCTCCTACACCTCCTCTCCCCTACCACCACCCACCAAGTGCAGCGAGTAGCCACTAACTGCTGATGCAGAAGCCTTTAGAAAAAGGAGTCCAGAAGTCTGTGCAGAATAGCTAACTGGAAGGAAAGCCCTAAGGTTGTCCTAAGGCCACGCAATGTGGATGCTGCATGCATGTCTGATTTTCTGATTGTTGTTCATGTTACCGTTCATCCAATTCATGAGTAACAATCACCAAGGGTACAGAGTTACCTCAACTTCATCATTTTTCTGGAAAAGACATTTAGCTTAGATAAATTGTAATTTTATTACAACCCACAAACAATTTATGTAGTAAAACTGATTCTCCCCGTTTTCTTCCCCCATAAGGGATGTATGTGGTTGATGTATTGAGACTGAGCCAGTTTTCTTACAGCTTGAGATACAATTGAGAAGAAATCTGCACACCAAATCTGTCCCTTCAACCAAACCAATTCCCTAGAAAACAAAGAAATCTTATTTACCTTTAGGTAGTTTTTTTTTTATCGATATTTACTGAGTTCTATATTTATTTCTCTGCTCCCCTCCCTGCCACTCTCCTCCTCCCTTCAACCCTCCCCCAAGGTCCCCATGCTGTCAATTTACTCAGGAGATCTTTTCTTTTTCTATATCTACTTCCCATGTAGATTAGATCTATGTAAGTCTCTCTTAGTGTCCTCAATGTGAAAGTAGGCACTCTTATGGCTTCCCAGAGACTCTCAGGGTCATAGTCTTAGTTTTAAATGCTGATGCTTAGCAACTGCTGTCATTATGTTAACCCGCTGAAGGAAGGAAGTATCCAGGTGGGTCGTTGGACTATATGGCTTCTACGGTGTGGAAGTGGTGTCTGGGATACGGGATGCTCATGGCGATGTCAGTGATGGGTTGACAGGTGCTTAGATGTGGGTGTTCCTGCCTTTTTGAGGGCTGCTAGCATTATAAATCCAAGTCTTAACACCTTTATGAGCCATGTGATCCCACAGTGGAGACGAATAGCCAAAGGTAAAGTTTCTGTTTTGTTTCCTTGCCAGCAATACTTTTCAATCCTAGCTCTTGGGGTTCCCTAATTCCTCATCAACATTTCCTCATCTCAGACAGTTCTGTGCCATGCAAAGCATCGTACTTCCTAAAGTACACAGCAGACAGGAGAAGGGGGGTGGGGCACGTGTGAAAAGGCCCAGTTGTGAGAGACAGGGCCTTTGAGACAATTAATTGTCTGTGTTTGTCTATTTTTACTCTGAGTCTTGTTATGTAGCTTAGGGTGTTTTGAACTCATGGCAACCCTCCTGCCTAATTATAGGATTATGGGTATGGACCACCATGCCCACATAATATTGTTTGTGCGTGTCATATAAGTATGCAAACTTGGAGAGGTCAGT